GATAATAAATAAATTAAAATATAACTTATAACTACGGACTAAAAATCTAAATTAACATTTTCAGCATTTTTGCCGTTGTCGCAATGATGTGTGACAAAACACAAACCGTTATCTAAAAAACTGCACTTATTATTTTATATGAAAAAGACCATAGAACAAGGCTTATAGAAGACAAGCAGCAGTTGTCTTCTGTCTCCAATGTCAATCATGGAAAAGTGCTGAATTGTCACACCCCGGATATCACATCACTGATAAACCGATATTGACAAAATCAAAATTTTGTCTTGCTTAGAAAGACAGTATTCTAGTAACTAATAAATCTACAATCATATAGATAATTTAAAAAATCAAGATTTCTGTAATAGCACATAATAATTTGTTTATGCCAATAACCAATAAATTATAAGCATTGCAGCTTTTCAGAAATTCTGAGAGCTTTGGCGTTACCGCTAAGCAGCACTGCGTGAAAGATGATTCTCATTGGTCCGCTCTCATTGTCACTCCGTGTACACACTAAGCGGGTAATTTGAATTTGTTATATGCATTTTAATTGTTTGAATTTCATAGGGTGGGAACTGTTAGCTTCGGATACATTTATTTGAGTACGTTGACGCATTTAAAAAGAAAAGTTCATATAAACTCTTATCCTTGTACGTGCCCTTACGTTTTCTGCTGCGGGCACGCAAAATTTATTTACGATAAATTTTGTTAATTTGTTAATCAAAACACCATATTTTCAGTATTTCATAAGGGTCTCAGGATTTAGTAGTAAGAAGATTTACTTTTACATGCCCTTACTTTTCTGCTGCGGGCACGCAAAATTTATATTCAACCAATTTGGAATATACTGTAGATGTACATTCATGTATATTACTGGAATATTTGTTTTGAACATACTAGGCATATTCACCTGCACATATCACAATATGTACATACCTAGGATATACTTTTTATAAACTTTGATGAATATTTGTGTGCATGTATACACATGTTGAACATTCCTAACATGTATATTCCACGAACATTCATGTTAGGAATGTTCAACCATGTATATTCCCAGGATATTCCCGCAATGTTCTGTATATTTTTTTGAACATTCTGGGATATTCATAGAATATCAAATGCTATCTGGGTTATTATATACTCAAACACCCTGTATGTGCACAGTGCACATGTGAAAAGTGGATATTTTCAACTCCAAACTCTTTAAAAACTCTCTCTCCAAACGGCTCAAACTCCAAACAACTTTAAAATGCCCCAAGAAACCAACCAAGAAAGTTGAGTAGCGCATTCGTTTGATCCCGAGCCCCACACTTCCAGTAAACCGAGGACTTCATGGAACAATCCATGGAAATGCGACTAATAATGCACTAAAAATAGCGATTTCGCAAAAACACACCAATAAACTATGACGCCATTAAAAAAATTGGCGCAATTAAGGCAGCACCTTGATGCCGCAATAAAGCGAACACCTACTTCCATCAAACTGTCGGGATTAATGCGATGTTGAAAGCTGCTGGCCGCATTTGGAGTGATCGAAACTGGTGTTTCAGTCCTGCCTCTCATGGTGCAGCCACTTTTCCACCATCATCTGCACGGTTTCCATTGCGGGCGGCCTGGGAACGCTGTACCGGCTCCCTCAAAGTACCATGATCCGCGGGGGGTTGCCATTTCTCGTGGCCTACGCCCTCCTCACGATCCTCATTGGCCTGCCATTGCTCTTCTTAGAGTTGGGCGTTGGGCAGATGGCCCAGGAGGGTTTTATTAAGAGCTGGAGGGCCGTGCCGTTCTTCAAAGGTACTGATCAACTAGCCGAGCGGTTTGGAAACGTTCACTCAAACCATTGCAGGAATTGGCTACGTGAAGCTACTGGCAGGGTGTCTGCTCAGCCTGTACTACCCTTTGTATATGGGGTTGGCGCTGATGTACCTCATCTGGGTCCTCAACGGGCCTGTTCCCTTCACTGAATGCGTCAGCGGCGTGAGAATCACGGCAGTAAGTAGAGTTTTCCGGACCCAAACTTACTGGTAACTGGGCGTTTTTTCAGACGGGCTACAGCGCCACTAACAAGCCTAGGCAGGAGTGCATTAGGTAAGGTTTTTCAAAGTCTCCATCTGGGAAATTTGCACTGGAATTTTCCAGGAACACCTTCATCCAGTCCCCTTTCCAAGACCCCCACTACTTCGGGATATATGCGGCACTGCTGCTGTTCATCTGGCTAGTGGTGATTGTCCTGTAAGTCCTCCTCATTCTCTTAATGGACATTTTCCAAAGTATCTTTAAGGTCCATCCGAAGGACCAAGAGCTACATCCGCTCGCTGTCGCTTCTGTTTCTACCCACGATGGCCTGCTACATTGCCTTGGCCACCAAGTCCATCCTGCTGGAGGCTGAAATGGCGGTGCTGCACAAGCTGGTGGAGAATGTCGACTGGACTGTACTGAAGTCCGCTGATGTGGGTATACAGAGGGTGAACAATCCGCATTCATTCGAACTTATCGTTTTTCGGGAAATGCAGGTTTGGTACTATGCGACAATCCAGGTGTTCTTCTCGACCAGCGTCGGCTTTGGTTCCTTCATCACCAATGCGGGAATAATGTACAACAAGGTGAATCCTTTGTGGTGAGCATCATCCGGTGGCTTGAGGCTTTAGTGGGCTAAACCAGCATTTTCCAGGACGGCCCTCGGTTATGTGGTGACCAACCTGATCTTCGGGACCGGCTCTGTCATCATCACCACCATCCTCACTCAAGGCCTCAACACTACCACCAACTCATCCACTTCCAGTATCGATGAAGTCCAACTCTTCACCAAGATTTACGACGCCATGCTCCGTCAGAACAGCGCCGATTTCAATTACTGGATGATCGCCACTTACCTCCTCTTTGTGTTCGCTGGGTTTACAAGCATGGTGAGTTGAGCGTGAGTTGAAGGGAATTATCGAAAACAGAAAATGGGTTGTAGGCAACCAGGGTTGGCTTGATTTTTTTCAAGTGATTTAAATAATTTTTTTGGAAAAAAATCACGATTTAAATCAAATTTCATTTTTTCAAGAAACTTTATATTTTCACTGAAAAAATATAAAACAGAACACAAATAATTCTAAGAAATGAAAATCAAAATAGAAAACGGTACATGTGAACTTAAAAATTAAACGGTATTAATGGT